ATCAACGCCGGAATGCCACTAATTTGAAAGTGAAAGTAAAATGCGCACGGCACTTTTACAAGTCATTTGAAAGCGAAGAAAAGAGGGAATCTCAAACGAACTAACACCCCCACCTCAACACACACACACACACACACACACACACAGCTATACTTCTTGAAATGAAAGCAAACTGAGCAGCAAAATGTTGTTATGTCTTTTTGAGTGATTAAATTGCTTTATTATCAGGTTAGGATGTTTGTGTGCTTTTTAAATGATCTAAATCATCTGTCTCCAGTCGTCTGAGCCAGAGACCGTCAGCAGAAGAGCTGGAGCAGAGGAACATCCTCAAACGTACGTCTCACAGACTCCAGTATGAGTATGATGAGGAAAGCTTCATGTTGTGAGTGAATGTGTCTGATTGTGTGTTCAGCGCGGAACGAGCAGGAGGAGCTGGAGGAGAAGCGCGAGCTGAAGAAACGGCTCTCCAGGAAGGTGAGAGCAGGAGATTTTCCCCAAACCAGAGCTTTTTTGGCTTTTCCCGGACTCTGTTCCTATAGCAACCAACTATTCTGGGTCACGGCACACATTAGATGCGAGTTACGCAACGTCTTCAGGAGTGTGTTTCTCTGTGTGTGTGTTCAGTTGAGTCAGAGGCCCACCGTGGAGGAGCTCAGAGAGGCCAAGATTCTCATCCGCTTCAGTGATTACGTGGAGGTGGCAGAAGCTCAGGATTACGACCGGCGCGCGGACAAACCCTGGACCAGACTCACTGCTGCTGATAAGGTTCATCTCCATCACCCTGAGCTTCTCTGACTAAATAAAAACTTGATGCTTTCACGTTTGAAAATTAAAGCATAAATGTTACATTGTAATTAGCAGAATATTGCATTTTTAAAAAACTATGTGTATATATATATATATGTGTGTGACCCTGGACCATAAAACCAGTCATAATGGTAAATTTTTAAAAATTGAGATTTATACATCATCTGAAAGCTGAATAATTAAAGAAAAATCAATATTTTGACCCACACAATGTATTGTTGGCTATTGCTACAAATATCCCCCAGCGACTTCAGACTGCTTTTGTGCTCCAGGGCCACATATATATATATATATATATATATAATTACTGTTCCTATTTTAATTTTCAATCAATTTCTTACAGTACAATAGTATTATTAAAGTAGTAATATATTTCTAATAAGGAAAATCACAACAATAATTATTATTACTATTATTAATTATATATCATAATTATTTATATATGTCATAAGTACTAGAATTTCACACTATATA